CATAGTTCTGGACCTCAAAAGAGGAAAAAAAATAACATTACGCGTTCAACTCCGCGTTTAATTTTGCCTAACTCTCAACAAGTTTCTCAAGCTCCTCTTCAATTGCAACAAAATATTCTTCAAGTCCAATTTCAACAACAACGAGATATTCTTCCTCAACTTCAACAGCAACGAAATATTCTTCCTACATTTTGTAAAAAAAAAAAATAATTTATATTATAAAAAAAAAATGATCCGATCAATAAGCCGATCAATTTTTGATGTTAGGATTGGTTGGTTAATGGATTTCCGATCAAAAGCCGAACTAATGTGAATTTTTTTTAGTTTTAATAAAAGCATAAATATTTAAATTGTTTATAGTCTGCATTGGGGTTTCCGTTTGAAAATAGTATATTCGAATATAATTTTGTAAATAACAAAATTAAAATATTCGAAAATACATAATTAATATTTGATATCGAAATGATTTCGAATATCGGTTTTCGAATATCAAAAATCAATCAATTCGATCGATCTTTTCGATCGATTATTTTTTTTTTTTTTTTTTTTTTTTTTTTTAATTTAATATTTTTTCCTTCCTTTTTTTTTTTTTTTCGTAATTTTTTCTTTCTTTTTTTATTTTATTTTATTTTTTTCATGTTCATCTTTTTTTATAATCATTTCTTTTTTTTAAATATATATTCTTTTCGAAATGATTTTCGATATTTGAAATCAATTCGATATCCGAAATCATTTCGATATTCGTTTGAAATTATTCTAATATTTGAAATGCAATTTGTATTTCAAACGGTTTAATCTAAATAAATATAATTTTAACAGCTTTAAATTTGTACTTATTTGGATTTTATAATAAGTTTCCCATTTTTATTTTCTGAATTTATTAACCAATAATACCAAACTCTTGGCATCAATAGATAATCTCTGTTCCACAAAAATTTCAATTCCACAAGCAAAAAAAAAAAAAAAAAAAAAATGTAATTTGACAATGATTAGCCATAATGAGTGAGAATCTTACACCCGATGAAGTTGATATAGAAGTATTCGGTCAAAACAGTGTTTTTGAAGGACCAGAAAAACTTTTGGAAATTTGGTTCGAGACTTCAAAAGATGCTATTCCAAATAGTCTCTTTCAAAATGATACGGAATACTCTTTAAAAAATGGCTTACGTCTAGTTGAAAGAGTTGTATGGGACAAGTTTTTGGAACTTGTTAAATGTGAAGTATTAAATGTAATTAATAATGATTATATGGATGCTTATTTATTAAGGTAAAATTATTCTGTCGAAATATGAAATAGGCTCCATTTCCATAAATTTCGAGAATTTATTAGTTGAAACACGTGTGATGTCATTTATATCATTAAATGTAAAAGCAAATTTTTTTTTTGAATTAAAATAACTCCATTTAGTGAATCTTCGATGTTTATTTATCCTCATAAACTTATTTTAAAAACTTGCGGTACAACCACTCTTTTGGTTGCTTTACCTCGCCTTCTTGAAATCGCATCTGAATATTGTCATCTTCATAAAGTATGGAGAGTATTCTATTCTCGCAAAACCTTTATGTTTCCAGAACGTCAGTTGCATCCACATAAAAATTGGAATGAGGAAGTAAAATTTTTAGATCAACTTTTCGGTAAGAATTTCTGCCAGTTTTTTTTATTTATTTATTTTTTTTTTTTTGATTATGACTGACCCTTAATTAATAGGAAAGGGCGCAGCATACACGGTGGGAAAAATCAATGGAGATCATTGGTTCCTGTGGCTAGCATCTTCTCCAGACGGTATCTTGAAAGATCCTTCACATAATGATGCATGTTGTCCAACATTTTCATGTCCTTTAGATGAATTGGATGAAAAAAAACCTTCAATTCTTGATTTAGAAGATCAAACTATTGAAATTCTAATGACTGAACTTAGTTCAACGACGTTAAGTAAATTCTATCATAATCCTTTAGAAGGTGAATCAGGAACCGAAGGAGGTTTAAGAATTGGTCAAGAAACTGGTTTGTGCAACCTTTATCCTGAAGCGCGACTGGATTCTTATCTCTTTAAACCATGTGGATATTCTGCAAACGGGTTGCTGGGAGATAGTTATTTCAATGTTCACGTTACTCCTGAACCTATTTGTTCATATGCTTCGTTTGAGTCTAACATTCCGGTAAATTCCGGATCTTTTATGGATGTCATCCGACAAGTGATTGCGATCTTTGAACCTGGAAAATTTAGTGTAACCGTTTTTAAATCCCAAGAAGGTAGCTTTGATAAAAAATTATTGGTTGAATTTATTGATGTCATTGATGGGTATTCTAGAAAAGATCGAATATTGTATGATCTTGATGGTTATGATTTAATTTTTGGACATTTTGAAAAAAAGAAATAAATTTATTTTAATAAAAAAAAAAAAAATTCTGTCTGTAACTTGACCTGCATAAATATGGAAAATTCGAAATATGGCGTTATTATTATTATTGGATGATTGGAACTTTCATTTCATTCATTTTGAAACAAAAGCATTGCTTATTAAAAATGAACAAAACAAAGCCAGCAATTGATAAAATTCGTCAAATAATTCCACCACTCTTACCAGAATTTCATAAAGGCCAAGCAGGTCTGCCTTTTTAAATGAAATAATCTTGTTTTATTTACGTTATAACAGTTCTAATTTCAATTTTCTTTTCTTAGGTAGAATATGTGTTGTCGGTGGCTCTGAAGAGTAAATAGAATGTCGCTCTTTAAAGATTCATTTTTTCTTAACTTTTCAACTAATGACACGTATGAAACGTATAATATTAGGTATACTGGCGCTCCTTATTTTAGCTCCTTTTCAGCTTTGAAACTTGTAAGTAAAGCAATTATGGTTAAACCCCTTATTGATACAACTAAATCTAATTCGAATTCATTTCTCGATTTGTTTCATGATAGGGCGCCGACATGGCTTTCGTGGTCTGCGAACCAACAGCAGCCTTGGCAATTAAGGTAATTGATTTTTTTCTTTGATGACTACTTTTTTTTTATATATATTTAAAAATGTAATCATGGTATCATCTGATGTATAAATATCTCACAGTCCTACGCACCTGGTATTGATATGTTTTACGTATAAATGTTCATAATTTCAATCACGACATGTTTTAAGATTGGCCTTATTAGGTTTTTTTTTACTGTTATACTTTATATTTGATAATTTATTTTAATTAAATCCGGGGAATCTCTCTCGTGATTTGAGTTATGGATAATCTTTACATTAAATAAACTCATTCATTCTAACGAAAACGATTATTTCATGCAGATCTAATGGTGCATCCTTACATGCGCCAATCCGGGTTGGTATTATTCTTCTTTGCAATATTGAAGTTTTATTGATTGATTTATTGATTTATTTTTTAAAATTTCAGGGACACGGGCAAGACTTTAGAAGAGGTAATAAATAACGTGGCTGGACTTTTCCCACGAACTCATGTTGTAGTTGTAGGTCCTGGATTATCAAGAGATAAGATGATGTTGGAATGCGCCAAAGGCATCATAACAAAGGTTAAAGAAAAAAATTTACCATTAGTTATTGACGCGGTATGTAAACAATATACACATGAAAGTTTGTGCGTCATCAAAGTCTAAATTGTCTCTTTTAATTAAGGATGGTTTATTCCTAATTCAAAACCACCCAGAAATTATTAAAGACTATCATAAAGCAATTTTAACGCCTAACGTCGTTGAATTCAAGAGACTTTGTGATAGAATGGTAAATTAGTAAAATTTGATCCGTTTTACACTATGAAACCCAACTAAAAAATTATTTTAATGATTAGAATGTTAACCCTGAAGGTGATAATACGGATAACATGATAAAATCATTAGGTCAAGCTTTTGGTGGAGTAACTATTGTCCAAAAGGGACAAAATGATTTCATCTCCGATGGAAATGAAGGTATAATATATTTAGGAAAAATATATATATATTTATATTGTACATGGATATTAATTTACGATTCTATATGAATAGTGTTCAAAGTTGATGAAAAAGGGGGGCTTAAACGGTGTGGTGGACAAGGAGACATTCTTACTGGAATGATTGCAACTTTTCTTGCTTGGGGATCTGCTTATCATGATAAACTTTGGCAGTGAGTTATTAACCATAGAGATTCATTTGAGTTTCAATCATATTTTAAAACATTTTCTTTTATTTTTGTGATCCTCCCATAAATCAAAGGCACGACAATTCAATATCGCCTAATGAAATTCCAATGCTGGCTAGTTATGCGGCATGTACACTTATGAGAGAATGCTCACGTACTGCTTTTGAGAAATTTGGACGCGCTGTACAAACTTCTGATATGATTAACGAGATTGGACCTTCATTTCAAAAATTATATGAGAGGTAAATCAACTTTTTAAAAATTATATGGTCAATTTCGAAAATTTTAAATTTGTAATTTTGAAATAATAAAATACTACTATAGTTATTATGATTCATTAATTATCTAAGAATAATAATAAATAAATAAAATGCTATTATTTTAAGATTAATTTCTCCATCTATAAGTAAAGTTTAAAAGGGAATGGTTAAAATGTTATTACTTTGTCGAATTATAATAATCTTTTTGTTGACTTACATCTTTAATTGACGATCCTTGCCACCACTTGCAACCTTTTCTCCGCTTGGACTCCAATCAACGCTAAATATCTATAATTTGAAACAAAATTAGTTAAAATTGTATAATATAAATCCCTTAATAAGAACTTACCTCATCAAAATGACCCGGTAAATCTAATTTAATTTGTTTGGTTTTTAAATCCCAAATTTTTAATGTACTATCTTTGCTAGCACTAATGAGTAATCTACTATCAGAGGACCAACAAACTTGATAAACAGGACCGACATGCCCTCTTAACGAAGCGATAAATCTAATAATAATAATAATAATAAAATTTAATAATTAGATTTCATAAACTAGTTAATTATAAGTCAACTTACTTTCCCGTAAAACCATCCCAAAGTTTAACTGAATTATCAAAACTTGCACTAGCAAATAAATGGCCATCAGGTGAAAAACACACATGATTTACTAATTTTTGATGTCCCGTTAATCGAGCAATTGATTTTTTACTTGTACTAGGTTCCCAAAAGAACATTGTAAAGTCATCACTACCAGAGACCAATCGCTCTGGTTTATTTCCAACTACAGCCTTATATCTAGCCAAAGCCCACTCCTGTGCTATAATACGAAATATATAATAACATTGGTACCTTTCCTTTAAAAGAAAACACTTGTGTATTCTTCATTACCTTCATTTTCATCTTTCGGAATTCTACCGGTATGATCAAAAGCACCAGTTCTTAATACAAAATCCGTACTTAATGCCATAGTATTAACCCAATGACCATGTCCTTCTAAGGTTCTAATAAGGGTTCCTTGAGTCGCATTCCAAACTTTAATTGTTTTATCCCGACTAGCAGAATAAAGAAGTCCATCACCTCCCCATTTTATATAAGTAACGGCCGCGGTATGTTGTGACATGTTCATTACGACTCGTCTTAATGTAGTATCCCATATCCTTATTGTACCATCTTTTGATGATGATGCCAATCGATTACATTTAAGATTTCTTTTTTTTTTTTTTTTTGTTTAAAAGAAAAAGGAATAAGACAAAATGAACATTTAGAATTGAATTATGTTTCGGATGAATTAAAGAAAAAGGAAATTTCATACACACAGATGTTGCGGCTCCCATGCTAAACATGTTATCCATTGTGTGTGTCCTTTTAATGGATCTCCTAATGGTCTTCCTGTTGATGGATCCCATAATCTAACGGTTTTATCCATACTTCCGGAAGCCAATATTTTACCATTTGGAGACCATGAGATGTATAACACCCAATTTGCGTGTCCTATTAGATATATATAAGTTGACGTCAACGAATATTCGGATGAATGAAAAAATTGTCATGAATGAATAAAAACCTCTGCAGGTGAAATGAGGAGTTTCCGTGTTGAGATCCCATATTCTTACAGTGGTGTCGCCTAAATATGGAACGAAATGTGAGATAACTTGCAAACACGTTTTGAGAATGAACCATCAAAAGATACCTGATCCAGTTGCAAGTTGAGTGCCATCAGGACTAAAGCTAATCGATAGGATTGCATCAGTATGTCCTATTACATCAACCAATTTGTTAATATTCTTTTTTTTTTTTTTTATCGAAAAGTCATCTAATCACTCACTCACCGCTAAGTGTAGACGTGCATCGAGTCACAGCTCGAACACGAAATATAGCTTGTGGTTGATAAACAATAGTTAACACATCTTCAGTTGATTTTTTTAATCCTTGAATAATATCATTATAAAGTGTATTCGTGATTTCTTTATCATCAACTGAAAATGCATAAGGAAGTGGTTCATCCTACGAATAAAATTAATTATCTAATTGTTTTTTCGAATTAATTCATTCTTAATTTAATTGAAATTAAAATTTAAAAATGTTACATTATTTAATAATTGATTGATCAATAATTCGAGTTGTTCGGGAGTGACGTTTGCAGGTAAACTTAAAGGTGAACCAGTAACTTCACCATTAATAGATTTCAATTGGGCAATGACCGTCCCTAATATTTCTTGTTTTACATCAATTATCTCCTCTACTGTAGTATTAATTTTCTTTATTTTTTTTTTGGGTGGTCCTTTAGTGGCCATGTTTGATAAAAATTTTGAGATAATCAATTTTTCTGTGAACTTACTAATTCATGGGCACGTGATCTCGTATGAAGAGAAATATAGTAAGCGCATGTTTCAATTTTACGTTTTATTTCGCGTATTACTTTTGAAAATTAAAAAGTAAAATATGGCAATAACGTTAATTTCAACACCGCCTGCAGTAATTACACGTGAACAGGCACGACAAATGCAACAAAATCCTCAAGAAAATGGTATAATAGGACCAATTGCTCGTCATACGCAACATAATGTCCGCGCACTGTTTACTCCACCTGCTGCTGATGCAATGTTAGGTAAAGGAACTTTATGGGTAACTGAAAGGTAAATAATCATATTTCTACCAAATCTTTAATATACTCGTTTAGTATCTTTTTTAATATTAAGTTATATTCTTTAATTGTTATATGAAGTAAACTGTATTTTTATTCTTGGGATACAAATAATGGACTAGCGATTGATTATCCTACTATAATAATACATGGTATATCAAGACAACCAGCATCGGATGGTACAGGTCCGAGTATTTATACACAGTTAGATGAAAAATTAAATACATTC